ATAAATAAATAAATAAATAAAAACCATTAAAAATGAGCAAAGAACATGAACAGACAATTCTAAAAACAAGATATATATAGCCAACAAGCATATGAAAAAATGCTCAACATCACTGATCATTAGAGAAATGCAAATCAAAACCAAAATGAGAACTATCTCACAACAATTGGAATGGCTAATACTAAAAAGTCAAAAAGTAACAGCTGCTACTGAGGTTGTGAAGAAAAGTGAATGCTTATACAGTGCTGGGGGAATGTAAACTAGTTCAACTACTGTGGAAAGCAGTTTGGAGATTTATCAAACAACTTTAAAAGAAAGAACAGGTATTGAACTCAGCAATCCCATTCCTGGGTACATACCCAAAGGAATATAAATCATTCTAACAAAAAGACAACATGCACTTATATGTTCATCACAGTACTATTCAAAAAAGCAAAGACATGGACTCAACCTACATACCCATCAACAGAGGATTGAATAAAGAAAGTGTGGCATAGAAAAGAATAAAATCATGTCCTTGGCAGCAACATGGATAGAACTGGAGGCCATTATCCTAACTGAATCAATGCAGAAAAAAAAATAAATAAATAACCACATGTTCTCACTTATATGTGAGAGCTAAACATCAAGTATACATGGACAAACAAGGGAACAGTACACAATGGGGAGGCTGAGAAGAAGATGAGAGTTGAAAAACTACCTTTCAGGTCACTGCACATGTACCCCCTGAACTAAAATAAACATTGAAAAGGAATAAAAGTTTAAAAATAAGATAAAATCACTCTCTTAGCAATTTCCAAGTAAAAAACAAATAATCTGATAAGAAGAAATGGAAATATACAATAATAAGCTTTGCTTTGATGGTCTTCACAGTGTTATTTTCTCTGAAGCAAAAATTATGTCAATTATGTATATTACAAAAGAGATCATTTCCCCAAAATGAAGACAATAAAAAATATTAGAGAAAGCACCATAGCAATTCTGTCTCTAATTTTTCTGTAACTTAGCTTTGAAACCTTGAGTAAGTCAGTCATCTGCCATCTCATCTGTAGTAATCAATTTTAATTTGCCATGAAGTTATAAGTAAAATTGTGATACAATTTTTTACTCATTAAATTAAAGCAAAGTAATTTATTTAAATGAGCTTTATAACTGAAATGGCTCAACGTAGCACCCCTCAAGAGTATCTAATAAATTATGACAGTGTACAAAACATTCAGGGCTAACAACAACAAAAAAAGACATTGTTACCTTGAACTCATGAGCAATTGGACATTTTTGGTTTTAAAAACTTCCCTTCCTTCTTAACAGATTATATTTTTAAAAATTGTTATCATTTTGTACATTGTTAAATTACACACTCAAATTACTCAATTGAACTCATAACTCTACAAAAAGAAATTATGTGGTACATGATCTGAACAACTTGGCTTATTCCTATAGGACTGTATACAGTGCATACCTTCCAAGCACTCATTGTTGAATACAGTAGATCTTAGTGGATTACTGAGGGCCAACTGAGTAATTCAGAATCACATACTGAGATGAAACTGGTGATTTGCACTCCCTCATTCTACCCTCCATACTATTCTAATCTGTAGAGCTATATTACTTTTTTTCTTTTTGATGCTGGGTGCCCTCTCTTCTGTCAATTCTGGGGCTTATCATCCATCGCTATTATTGATTTTTGCCACTCTCCATCTAGTCAAATCCAACTGCTACACTGATATCTAAAACATCTTTTCTGTTTCTTCATCATATTTGACTCTTTTGGTCCCCACTCTTCTCAGCTACAAAAAAAATAAATCTACTACACAGGCACAGTCAACCATTTAATATACTCCTTTCCTTCCAATGAAAAAGAAAAAAAAAATCAAAACAGGAGAGGACAGTCTTTGGCTTTTCTGAACTGTTTTCATGGCAATTTGAACCAAAAGATTTATTTATTATTATAAAAAATGGGTTTCTTTTTTATTCATAAGTTTGGAGTTACTACAGATACATAGTCTATAGACAATTGGAGGTTTTACAATTATAGAATCAAAGAGTTAAAAAGCAATAACAGATATGGTGGCTGCCTTCTAAACCCTTAAAAAGTCCACCAAATAAATCTCCAAAAATTTTTATTAAATCATATCTTAAAATGAATTCATAGAACTCCAAAAATATATACCAGTGGTCAAAAAGTAAATGAAAAGATGCTTAACATCAGCAATCATTAGAGAAATGTAAATTAAAAACACAGAGAGATACTACTTTACACCCATCAGGATGGCTATTATCAAATAACCAAAAAAATGTGTTTGGCAAGGATGTGGAGAAATGTTGGTGAGGATGTGCAGAAACCAGACTCCTTTGCTTTGCTGGTGGGAATGTGAAATGAGGTGGCTGGTGTGGAAAAGTGTGTCAATTCCTCAAATATATGGAGACATATAAAATGTCCATGTGATCTAGCAATTTCCCTTCCGGACAGATATCGAAAAGAAATGAAAGCAGAGATTTGAACAGATATTTGCACTCTCATGTTCAAAGCAGCATTATTCACAATAACCAAAAGATGGAAACAATCTAAGTATCCATGGACAAATGAATGGATAAACAAAATGTATTAACAGCATACACACACAATGGATAATTGTATTTCACCTTAAAAAGAACATTCTGATACATGCTACAACATGGATGAACCTTGGAGACATTATACTAAATGAAATAAGACAGTCACAAAAGGTTAAATAGCGCATAATTCCACTTATGTCAGACACCTAGAGTAGTCAAATTCATAAGAGGCAGAAAGTAGATTGGCAATTATCAGGGGCTGAAGGTAACAGAAAATGAGGTGTGAGAGTTTAATAGGTATGAAGTTTCAATTACGGATGATGAAAAACTTCCGGAGAATGAGTGAAAAGTAAAGTCACTCCATGACTACTGTGCAAACCCAATCTGACTCTAAAAACAGAGACAGTGCAAGTTGTATAAAACTGAGTAAATAGTGCTTACTTTTGTTAGAGCTCAATGAAGAGCGTGGAAACATCTCTACATATCTACAGAAGCCAGATTCTCCTCAGGGGTCTGTCTAGGAAAGCTGAGAAAAATAAACTGTAAATAAATAAAATCCCTCATGCACCCAAATTACGGAATATTGTTGAGATTGCTGCCTCCATGCCTACATTCTTGCTATTCCAAAATATATCAAACATGCTCCTGTCTCTGTGCCTTTGTACTAGGCCAACTAATTCCCCAGATACTTGCAGAGCTAACTATCTCACTTCATTCATATCTCTACTTAAATGTTCCCTTATCAGAGAGGCTGGGACTGACCACCCTATCAAAATGGCATCCTCTAGCACTCTCTTTCCCCTTAATTTGCTTTATTTTTCTCCATACCTCTTTTTTTTTTTAGAGAGGGAGTCTCACTCTGTCACCCACGCTGGAGTGCAGTGGCCTGATCTGGAGACATTGCAACTTCCGCCTCTCTGGTTCAGCAATTCTCCTGCCTCAGCCTCCCAAGTAGCTGGGACTACAGGCGCACGCCGCCACACCCAGCAAATTTCCTGTATTTTAGTAGAGATGGGGTTTCACCTTGTTGTCCAGGCTGGTCTCGAACTCCTGAGCTCAGGCAATCTGCCCACCTCTGCCTCCCCAAAGTGCTAGGATTACAGGCGTGTGCCACTGCACTCACCCTTTCTCTATATCTCTTAAACACTACTTGTTAAATATTTGCTTGTTAATTATACCTCTCCATCAACTAGAATGTAAGCTCCAGGAGCAAAAGGACTTTCTATTTTGTTCACTACTGTCTTCCCATGACCTGAACACTATCCCGCACACTGAAGGTTGCCAGAAAATATTGGCTAAATGAATAAACACGTGGATGCTCATGGTTTCATAGATAATATTTCCCCTTTGGCCCTGGTACTATTCTACCATATGCAGCAGTCATAGTCTGAAAGCTTCCTGAGCACCCCCAACTTTTCTGTGTAGGCTTCACTGGCTAAGTAGAAGTAACAGCTAGTTTAAAAGTCTAAAAGAAGCCTGGTACCAGCACTGTCACTGGGGCCTTAGAAAAGCAGATCCAAAAACACTCTTACTAGGTGTCTACATTTGCTAAATGTATACAGTGTAACTGTCCCTCGCATTGTAGGATAAAGCCCTTATAAATGTGATATTTATTATGCACTATATGGCATGTGTTAATACAAACGATGTCATGTACTGCATTAAAAAAATCGCATTGGTATTTTCATAAACATACGAGGCACTTGCAGACAAAATCCAGAGATTTTTTCCCTCTACAGCCTTTTTGAGGACTTGGGAGAAACGGACAAATTCAACAACACTGCATGTCACTAAATACAGTATATCCAAAACACAAATAATGAGTTTCTTGGCCCAGCAGACTTATACCGTGGAGCACTATATGTCAAATACCTGGATGAGGGAAAGAGAAGACTGCTTCCAAAACATACTTACTTTATTTCAAAGTCAAAAGTATTCGACACTTAATTCATACTGCATCCCAGAGAAACGTCCCACCTGTGCTCATGCATGTTACAAGTTTTGAGAGCATTTTATACTGCATTTTCATCCACCTGCAGTGAATGACTTCTGGTAAAGCGTTGGCGGTTAATAACACTTTTTGTAGGGAAAAAAAAATTAATCAAAGAACCACAATAACTCCTCTTCCCAGAAAGCGGAGGAGGGCCCATTACTCTGTCTCCAGGGACTCCCAGAATCCCATACGCCCAGATATAAGGAAAGTCATCCAGGGAACACACGTGTCGCTCCCGCCTGGGGGGTGGAAATGGCACATGGGACCTGCCCATCAGCGGGGGCCCAGGCACAGGTCAGAGGTGTCCGCAGGGAACGCAGCGTGGTTGTGACAGCCTCGGGCCCCAGGACCAGCGACTCCCGCCCAAGACCGACCCAGGCCAGCCCCCTCCTCGGATTTCGACCCAGGCCTGCCCCCGGAGCTCACAACCCCGCAAACGCAGTCCTACCTGAGCTCTGCCCCCAGCTACAGGGCTGAGGGGGCAGGCGGGAGGAGGCGTGGCCTTCCAGTTCGCCAGTCGAACTCCCTCGTGCGGTTGTTATGACTTTCCCTCTCGGGATCCGCGCCCCGACCAAGTTAGAGTTGCACTTCCGGGGTCTGCAGGAGACTGACACGTCATTACGCACGCGACGGCAGCGGCGAAGACAACCCGGAAATAGGCGGGGCGCGGCCCCCGGGTTGGTTCTGTGGTGATAGGTGCGCTGAAGAGAGTGGCCCGCTTGAATTAAATGTAGACCTTTTGTGTAGTGTTGCTCTCTGCTCGCCCTTCCTTATTAAGGCTGCCTGGGTAGCCGTAGCGGACGACGCCACCCTAAAACCTTGTTCTCCAGGCGGAATTTTAAAAACCATTCTGAGGATGGCCTTACAGCCAATTTCCCACTCCCCACTGACAGTGTATCTGACTTTACCCTGCCCATTCAACTCCAGAAAAACCGGGAGGTCGAGATTTGGAAGATAAAATTTACCTTCGAATTGTGACATGTAAAACAGGAAGTTAATGCTAGCATGCTAATGACAATTGAAAGTTTTCTCGTTATCATACTTGACTCAAATGGAAATCTTAATGGATATTAATGTTTTTTCCAGAAACAGATTTGAAAGGTATTTCAAGGGTACATCTGTGGGGAGGGATGGGAGCAACTGATTTTTAATTTTTGGATACTACCCTCAGCGTATTTAGTCCAAAACTGTTAATTTAATGAATTAGGCTAATCTAGATGCTTGGGGCAAAAGCTGAGTTAGACCTCCTCTCGTCTCAGGCAGCTAAGTAGAAGGAAGGACTGGTGGCTGACAAGTAAACCAACAGTTACGATGTTCTTCAAAGAGGAGATCCCAGACTCTCTATACTTCACTCCCACATAGTTTTACTTCTTAATCTCTACTCCTTACTTGTTTCCTTCATAAAAGTACAATGCTATTCATTTATTTATTTACAAATGTGCCCTGTCCCACTAAAATGTAAACTCATTGCTGGTAGTGACCTTGTTTTTCAAATGTGTCTTCAACCATACAACAACAGTGCATGTCCACAAAGTAGACAATATTTATTGAAAGACTGAATGATCACAGTGGTAAATACTATTTTGGGGAAATTTAGAAAAGTGTACAAGATCAGAGAGACAAATGATATAAGTGGTGGGAGATAAGGAGCAATGTTCCCAAGAAGGAAGAGAATCCACTGGAGTTAGCCAGGACTGAGTACCTGGATGAAGCCTGGGCATTGTGAGACTGTTAGGGCTTCATTTCTGGAAAGAACTCAAATGGTTTGTAGAGTGACATTTTATTCTGAAGAAAGCAACAACCAGATTTTGAAAAGCTTCCTATGTCGTGCTGAGTAATCTGATTTTCTGCTGCAGACAAGTGGGGGAACTGAAGGATTGTTGAACAGAGGAGGGAAACATTTTTATTTTCTTAGACTTTGGCAACAGTGACAAATTATATTAAAAAGATAAGGTTCCCTCCAAATATATAATCCCTGTTTAACCATGAGAAAAACATTAGACAAAAATACCTGACCAGTACTACCCCAAATAGCTAAGATCATGAAAAACAAGGAAAGTATGAGAAACTGCCAAGAGGAGCCTAGACAGACCAACTTTGATGTGGGATCCTGAAACTAGAAATAGAACGTTAAGTGGGAAAACTAGTGGAAATTGAATAAAAATTAAGATTTCATTAAGAGAATATACCAGTGTTTTTATATAACATGGAGATGGGTCAAAAGATGAGTGACATGACCTTTCAATGTTTCCAGGATAGAGACCCACTCAAGAATTAGAAGAATGTACTTTGCTCAATAGTTTACTATTGAGCAAACATATGGGTGCTTCAGCTTATAATTCCAGCTGGACTTACATGGGAATGAATGAGCCTTCGTATTGTTCCAATCCTTGATTCTTTCAGCTGAGGTCCCAAATTTTATAAAGCAGAGACAAGGCATCCCCACTATGCCCAGTTCTGAACTCCTGACCCACAGGAACAATTAGAAATAATGAAAATGATTCTTATTTGAAGCCAGTAAATTTTGGAGTGATTTGTTTTTCAGCAAAAGAAACTAATATGCTGTATGGCAACAACCAATGAGTAAATATCCTTTCAAGTCCAATCCTGACTAAGATGTCAAAATTAAGAATCAGGAGGTTATGTGCTAAAACAGAGGGAGTCCTTTCTCTGTTTACTCTACCCTTAAATGGTAAAGTAGACTCCTGCCTCAGCTGACCACAAAAACATCTCCTGCAAATCTGTGAGGAGAAAGGAAGGAAAGCAGCAAAAATTGTGTGTGGGCTTAGGTGTTTTGTTAGAATTACAACAGCCCATGTTTAGCTTAGCGGAAACTATTAAGATGATGACTACACAATATAGTACAAAATTTCCCCTCATTTTAGCCATAGTCATCTAAACAATACAAGTTAGTATATTTATAGTTTTGATTTATACATCTCCAGGGAAGCCAGAAACTTCAGTTTCTCTTACCACCTCTCTTCTCTTGCACTTCAAGTTCCTGCTGAGGTAAGGAAGATTTGTTCCCTCCTGGCTAACAACTGGTCCATCTTTGATCACTAGGATGATCAAAGAAATGTCCCTATACTATATTTGGCATATCCTTCTCCTATTCCAGACCACTTCTTTGGGCATCTATCCTTTTATCAATCTACCCCCACCCTTCACATCAATTGATTTCAGTGACATACAGCAGACGGACACCTCCAAAAATACTATCAAGATTACATGTTGTTAAGTTAAAAATAAAATTTAAACCCACTTATCATGACTAGGGCTCAGCTCCAACATTTTAGCAGGTCAGGAAAATTCATTAAGGAAAATATTCTTGATTAGATGCTAAGGGCAAAGCTCTGTCCAAACTAACCAACTCTGTTGGAATTAGTTCTGGATTCTGACTTAAATTTGGAGAATAAAGTAACATTCCTGCCCTTGCCCAAAGCCCAAGCAGATATGTGATATGATTTGAATGTGTTCTCTAAAAATTCATGTGTTAAAAACGTATTGCCATTGTAACAATATTAAGAAGCAAAGCCTTGAAGAGGTGATTTAGACCATAAGAGCTGTGCCCTTAGTAAGAGATTAATGCCATTATTGTGGGAGTGGGTTAGTTAGCATGGGAGTGGCTCCTGATAAAAGGTTAAGTTCGGCCCCCCTTTTCTCTCTGTCTTGTGCATCCTCACTACTCTCTCACCCTCTCTCCCCATGTGATGCTTTCTGCCACAAGAGAATCTTCACCAGATGCAGCCTCTGGATCTTGGACTTCCCCAGCCTCCAGAACTGTAAGCCTTATGAATCTCTTTTGTTTATAAATTACCCAGTCTGTGGTACTCTGTTACAGCAGCAGAAAATGGATTAAGACAGTATGTGTGAAGTGTGGCATAGTAATTATAACAAGTTCTGCCTTCTAGATTCAGTTTATGTTCAAAGTCCAAAAAGTAGGATTATATAACCAAACAATTACAAATGACCCCTCTAACAAAATGATTACTTGAAATCAACACATTATAACTTCTGCTTTCCATCTAGATGCTGGAGAAAACAAAACTGAATGCCCTCATAAAGGAATTAATGCCATTGTTGTGGGAATGGGCTAGTTAACATGGGAGTGGGCTCCTGATAAAAGGTTAAGTTTAGCCCCCATTTTCTCTCTGTCTTGTGTACTCTCACTACTCACTCTCACCCTCTCTCCCCATGTAATGTTTTGTGCCACAAAAGGATCTTCACCAGATATCGTCTCTGGATCTTGGACTTCCCAGCCTCCAGAACACCCTTTTCATTTTGCCTGGAATTTTTTTTTTTAAATGAGAAAAGATAACATATAAATCTTCAAAACATACTTTAAGAGAATTTCAAACAAAAAACATAAAAGTGCCTCTTGTTTATGATGTAGACAATTCATAGGTTGATATATTTACCTGGGGTTAGACAACCTGTGAGGTTTGAGGGCACAGTCTCCAAGGCATCCCTCATTTCTGACACCAACTGCAAGTTTAGGGGGTCCCAGAAATCCCCTCAGGTTTGAAATTTTGGTAGAAGGTCTCACAGAACTCACTAAAAGCTATTACAGTTACAATTTATTAGAAAGAAAGAATACAGACTAACATCAGCCAAGGGAAGAAGCACGTAAGGCAGCATCCAGGAGGGTACCAAACTCTCCCAGTGGAATCAGGACATGTTCCCTTCCCAAAATCCATGCATGACAATATGCATTGTAGAATTGCCACTAATCCTTTTCCTGTTTGCCCCAAAAATACTTGCGAGTGGCACTTGCAGCTGCAGCATTTACCTTGAGATTACTTTGCTGATATTGATATTGACCACCCAAATCTCATCCTGAATTCCCATGTATGGACCCAGGGGAGGTAATTGAGTCATAGCGGCAGGTCTTTTCCTGCTGTTCTTGTGATAGTGATTAAGTCTCACAAGATCAGATGGTTTTAAAATGGGAAGTTTCCCTGCACAAGGTCTCTTCTCTTGTGTGCTACCACTTGAGGTGTATCTTCCAACTTCTGCTATGATTGTGAGGCCTCCCTAAAAATGTGGAACTATAAGTCCATTAAACCTCTTTCTTTTGTAAATTGCCCAGTCTTGAGTATGTTGGATCTGTTTGGAGGGTCTGAAAAAGACAGGAAAACGTGGGAAAGTTTGGAACTCTCCAGAGATTTGTTGAATGGCTTTGACCAAAACGTTGGTAATGATATAAACAACGAAATCCAGGCTGAGGTGGTCTCAGATGGAGAGGACGAACTTGCTGGGAACTGGAGCAAAGGTGACTCTTGTTACGTTTTAGCAAAGAGACTGGCAGCATTTTGCCCCTTCCCTAGAGATTTGTAGAACTTTGAACTTAAGAGAGATGATTTAGGGTATCTGGCAGAAGAAATTTCTAAGCAGCAAAGCATTCAAGATGTGACTTGGATGCTGTTAAAGGCATTCCGTTTTACAAGGGAAACAGAGCATAAAAGTTTGGAAAATCTGCAGCCTGAAAATGTAGAAAATAAAATCCCATTTTTTTAGGAGAAATTCAAGCTGGCTGCATAAATTTGCATAAGTAATGAGGAGTCAAATGTTAATCAACAAGACAATGGGGAAAATGTCTCCAGGGCATGTCAGAGACCTTTGT